AAGATTATGTCTGCTGAGATGGTGTTTAGTTCTGAAATATCGACCACAAACACTGCAGCAATGAGGCTTTTCCATTCTGTGAATTAAATAATGAGTTTTCAGTTGACTTCTTTGACTAAAATGGATACTGCAAAGATCGCACACGTAAGTCTTCTCGGAATGAGTATGGTAATGAATTTCAAGACTAGATTTAGTCTTACAACTTTTACTACAAACATCGCAGATATAATTCTTTTTAACGGTATGCTGCTTATGCCTCATATTTCTAATTTAAGGTCTTATGTACTGTGCAACAAATGATAATTCTGTGAAACATGATGAAAAATTTCCTATAGAATGTTTATGTGACGATTTTTTCCCCATAAATAAATTAGATGTTACTTACACTTCCTCCCAGAATATACAATGATTTATTTTATTATTCATGAACTGTGATCAGTCAAATAAAATTTCATTTCGAAAAAGTAAATACTATACTCATATTTCATATAAATATCATCATTTTCACTATTTAACATAGATTTAGAACGCATTCTTATCTTCAGATTATTGAACTCTTCTTCTGAAGTACTTTCACATATCATACCGAATTAAGAATGCAAAAAAATGTTCAGGCTGTTATCCGAAGATTACCCAAAAATTAATAAATCCTCCCCCCCTTTTTTTTTTTCAATCAGCACAAACCATAGAAACAAAAACTTAAGAACAAACACGTGAAATAAACTCTAATGCTTGTGGCGAACACCTAACCGAAGACCTTCTGAAGAATATTATTCGAAAGATATGAAAAATCCTAATTCACACTTTATCTAACACAAAATTTAATTCCTTTATTTCATTTGCGATCTTTTTTAGTCGAACGGTTACTTCCAAGGAGGTTAGAATAGGGTTACTTCCTATTTTGAGTATCGTCAATTGTCTAGCCTTATACTTGTTATTTGTACTGCGCAATGAGTTGCAATTAGCAGGCAAAAAGATGCATATTCTGTAGAACTTCAAATTTAACGGAAAGTATTAGTTTCAGATAAAATGTGGTTATTTCCCCCTCGAGAAACTTTATTTTATATACATAAATGTAACGTTCAGAATTCTATGATATTCATCTTGCTATTTCTGAGTACGGAAAATGTAGTTTAGTTTACCTAAACTAGTATATGGTGGAATAGGAGTTTTTCTGTTACATGTATATGTGTGATATATTTCGTTCATATTGTTTAAAAAGAAGATAATAACTTATTTGTTTTGTATTTAAATGTCAGTGAAAACGCCAGTTTGTGTCAGTTGTGGCTGTTTCTGCTCTTCAGTTTATAAACAGTTTGGTCCTGAGATAATAAAATTAACCACTTGTGTAAGTGATACATGTCATAATTAATTAAATAATTTTGTGTTGGGTTGATTCAAAGGAATTTGAATTTTATATAAGATTGTGTTGAATCATTACTTGAGTGATTTTTTTTTCTTGCTTCTGTATCTCAAGTTTGCTCTGTACAGTGCTAGTTGTTAATTTTGTACAAAATAGTACAAATGGGGATATTTGTGTAGGTTTAATCCTAGTATCCGGTGCACACGGGATTTGGCTACTTTTGGCAACCTTATGATGAGCAGTAAAAATGAGACATATACGATGAGTAGTAAACAGGTCATTCAAAGAATATATATAGTTATACATAGTATATACTATGTATATACAATGTATATAGTGGTTAGTATTTATATAGACCTTCTTTGGATCATGTTTCGTGTTGGCGATAATTTTCAAAATCGCGCCAAGGTTGCACCGTATACTAGGATTTTACCTTTTGTGTATTACATGTAACTCGATGAATGATGATGATTACTGCTTTTGGTAATACAGTCAAAAGTCGTTAATTTGGACACCCATAATCCGGAATGATCTATAATCCGGACCTCAAAGCTACAAACTTTCTGCGCATGCGTCTCGTTGAGGCATGCGCGTAAAACCTTTACGGCTGCAAATATGCGTGTGCGCATGCGCAAAATAAGTTTACGAATGCGCGTTTAATGTATACAGGACGGTATAAGCTAAGCCAAAATTATCTAATTCAGTTTATTGCGTTGTTCCTTAATCTTTGAATTGGATTTGGCTTATTATTTTTTGCAGACTGTTAGAGCAATTTTATAAAAGTAAACTTGAACTTTCGATTATGTCAAATAGAATTTCTGATATATATTTACTAATATGTAAAGGATCTACAAAGCGAAAAGTATGTTTCGAAGTCTATTAAACAAAAAGTGGAATTGCTGCAAAAAATGGATAAAGGCATATCCTTTGTTTAACCATTCCGAAATCTTTTATCAATTGCCGTGGCGCGCACTGAATTGGAAGTTGATCTGTCAGCACTATCCTTATCTTCAGGGCAGATGTTTTTATTTTATCTGGCTTATAATTCCTTACTAAATGCAGTATTTCATCTCGATGTACTCCGTCTTTGATATGATTTAAATCAAATTCCTCGTAATTATAATTCGCTTCCGATAGCGAAGAAAGTGACAGAGGTTATTGAAAACGAAAAAATTTCAATTGACAAATTAGTCGGTATTCTCGACACAGCAATTATAGGACTTGAACAGCAGAACTTTGTAACTGAACAAGAAATTATTTCTGTTTATAGAATTAAAGAGAATGTATTATCACATAAAAAATGAAACAACTTACAGTGAAAGAAATGTTTAGTAAAGTAAACAAATAAATATTAAGCTTATTTTTTGTAAATTTTGATACCATCTAGATCATAACTGTTCTTTATTTCATAAATTATGGTTTCATATTTTTAATTGTATAATTTCTGCATGCCATCTTACCAGATTTAAACTGATGATCTATAATCCGGAAAAATCGATAATCCGGAATCGCTGAAGTCCCGACGAGTCCGGATTAACGACTTTTGACTGTATTCGCTTTCAAGGGCCGTAAAAAAATTGCAGTGAAAATGTACGCGCAAAAGCGCCAAATCTAGCAAACACGCCCATTTAACAGCGCTCCAAATCTAGCGTATGTGCTGATTTCAGATCTCGTAAGTTTATATAGTTCTATATTTCTCAAGACGCCATTGAAATACTAGTTTATTTTTAAATCCTTTTTTGATATCCTATGGATTTAACAATTTGGGAATTGCCCATGACAAAAACTCAGCAATAGAATTTTGGGTAAAGTGCGGAATCACCCGCTCCTTCACGCGTTTTTAAGAATTGCACATACTCGGTATCCATGTGCACATCGACCTATTTTCACTTAAAAAAAAAAAATCTTAGAATTGCATAAAAATGGCACTGCGCACATGCTTGACTTTATCTATGTACACATCGACCTATTTTCACTTAAAAAGTAAAAGAAAATTGACAAAAATTGTAAAAAGCGGCAAACAAATAAGTGAGTGATTCTGCACTTTACCGAGAATATTTTCAAAGAAAAAACATCATTTATTATAGAAAATTACGTTTGAACAACCAACGAAATGAAATTATGCTATAGCGATAAGTCGGTAGTGAAATAGTGATGCAGGCATCCATTCAGTTATGTTTAGCAATTTTTATATAAATTATAATAATGATCTTAAATAGTTTACTCTTATGCTTCCATTCAGTCATGTTTAGCCTTTTTCATATATATTATAATAATAAAAAAGTATTATATGAAATTAACCTTCATCTAAATTAAAATGTCAATCTTAAATAGTTATTATACTTCCTTTCTTGCCGCAATTATTTGTGGCAGCATTGGCATGAACAATAGTTTGGCGATTTTTTACGGCCCTCGAAACCGAATAGTACCCTGCTTTTTCATTTGTAATATCAAGATATTTATATAATTCTGAAATCAAAGCTAATGGATAAGTAAACTGTTCTGTAAAGTAGAAAAAAATGAAATTGAGTTGGGAAAGCATAATACAGTTTCCAGAGCAAATATTTTGCATTAAATGAAAGTGTGATTTTCTTAATAGATAACATCAAATCTTTTTCTTTTAGGGCACTTTGTTGAGGTTTTCCAGTCTCTGCTTGTCTCTTGATATTTTCCCCCTCTAGATTGATTCTTTTTTAAGGCACCAAAAGAGAAAGTATGGTTTAAACTCAAAATACATCCAATGCAAATTTTCATTCATCGCACATTTAAAAAAAAAAACAATAATTGTGTACTTTTAGAAGCATATGTCATAGTCTGTTTTATAAAATGAACATTAAATGTGTGATACAGTCAAAAGTCGTTAATTCGGACACCCATAATTCGGAATGATCTATAATCCGGACCTCAAAACTAAAAACTTGTGCACACTCATATGCGCAGTCGGTAAAAGGTCTTACGCGCACGCGTAAACGCCTATGCGCATGTGTCAACGCGGCGCATGCGCAGAAAGTTTTTAGTTTTGAGGTCCGGATTATAGATCATTCCGAATTATGGGTGTCCGAATTAACGACTTTTGACTGTAGCATCTTTCAGTAATACCTGAAATATCCCTTTATTGTGTAGGTTTAGAACTGTGTTTATTTTTATTAGTCTTACATTATTATTATTTTTTTTTTCAATTTTACATCCACAAAATTAAAAATGATTATGAGGATGTTTCTGTAAGCAGCACTTGGTGAAATTTGGGATTTTTTGACATCAGAAGCAAGCACATATGTGGCAAAAGATTATTATAATTATATATCTGATATTTTTTTTTAACAGACCTTCAAAACTATTTGGTAAGCAATAGTTAAATAGGTACTTTTATATTTTGCTGGCGCAGGTCGCTAATAATGGTACAACTGATGCCAAAAGTAACATCCTTGCTGGTAACCTTTTACGCTTCATTTTCAAAACAATTTGCAGCCATTTCTTATCAGATTGATTGTTTCTTTCAATACTGTCATACAATTACATAGAATCTTTACCAGATAGTTCAATTTTATCCCTAAGGCCATTCACTGTAATTAAGTCAATTAGGATGCAATCACACCTCTCACCTGAAGGTGAAAATATAAAAAAGGCAAAGTCAAGGGTTACATTCATCAATTCTAATGAGAATGCGCTAGCGAAGTAAAGCACTACAGTTTTACATAATTTTTTAGTAAGCTATTCGTACAAATTGAAATAATTCTTGTATTTAAACTTTTATTCCAAATTAAGATTTAACTTGAAATTAATGTAGATAATTAGTGAGAGAATTAGATTTTTGTAGTGTATTTTGTGTAAGATAAGATCACTTAGGGTCATGTGATATGAAAAGGCAAATCAGGATGTTGAACCATGATAGCATAGTAAAATTCTTAAATTAATATCTTTTTACAGATTTATTGTCTTTATTTATTGGTTTTTTACAAAGTTTTAAACAATATTAAAATGTTTATGCCTTCAAAATAAAAAATTCTTAGAACTAACATTTGTTAAAATTTTTTATGTATATACTGTATGTTGTTGCCAATAAAGTTCTTGGTGGGATTTTCGCCGGCGAAATGGAAAAGTACTGTTAAGTATAAAGCATACATATGAGCATACGAATCGTGTGCATGTATGAATTTGACTTTTGTTACATGTGTACATGAACATATACTAAAAGCATAGCAGTTTTACTACATTTTGAACTAGCGGGTTTGAATAATCACAAAGTAACTAGATGTGTACAAGAACTGTTCTGTATTTTTTCTTTTCTGATGGACTGTGCATGATTTGCAATGTAAAATTTTTTAAGGCTAATAAATACTGTTAATCAATTTCTAAATATAATGAAGACATTAGCTACACATTTTTTTTTAATGCATTTTGATTTTAGGTTAACTGTGGTGCAGTTGCTGATAAATATGTTGAAACTGAATGGTCTATTATTATAATAGATATGTTTCTTTTGAGAAGCGAAGCTGTAAGACATGTCTTGTTCAATTTGGATCTTCAGGTAATATGCTGATTTTATTACAAAAGTATGTTGAATTCATTACATATGAAGAAGTGTATAGATAAATTATATTATTAAACTTTATGAAAACTAATTCCAGATTATAATAATTTTCTTTTGTAGTTAAAAAATTATATTACCTTGTTTCATTAACGATTACTAATGCATTAAGGAGTGAATAAAAAATAATGTAAAAAATTTCAGTGATGAAGTTGGTTATGATTGTGTTTATAGATGTTACAAGACAAGTCTTATATGCACCATAATTATAAAATGATTGACGGTTAAATAAATATGTTATAAATGTAGAGATTAACTTTAAATCATTATTAGGCTGCTTTGACCTCGGAGAAAAAGCAACAACATTAAATCGTACATTTATAATTGAATGTATTTTTGATTTTAACATAATGCCGCAGCGTGCAATGAATTGGAAGTTGATCTGTCAGCACTATACTTATCTTCAGGGCAGATGTTTCTATTTTATTTGGCTTATAACTCCTTACTAAATGTAGTACTTCATCTCGATGTACTCCATCTTTGATATGATTTAAATCAAATTCCTCGTCATTATAATTCGCTTCCGATAGTGAAGAAAGTGACACAGATGTTATTGAAAATGAAAAAATTTTTATTGACAAATTAGTCGGTATTCTCGACACAGCAATTATAGGACTTGAACAGCGGAACTTTGTAACTGAACAAGAAATTATGTCTGTTTAATAGAATTAAAGAGAAAGTATTTTCACATGAAATGAAGCAACTTAAATAACTTACATTGAAAGAAATGTTTAATAAAGTAAACAAATAAATATTAAGCTTTTTCTTTTTGTAAATTTTGATACCCTTTAGATCATAATTGTTCTTTATTTCATAATTACGGTTCGTATTTTTAATTTTGTAATTTCTGCATGCCATCTTACCAGATTTAAACTGATGACCTATAATCCGGAATCACCGAAGTCCCGACGAGTCCGGATTAACGACTTTTGACTGTATCTGGAGAGACATCCTCACATGATCTTGCGTTGCTCCACAAAGCAGATTTTAAGCTAAAATATTTTTTAAATTCTTGAAAAGTCTGGCCATTATTCAAGAAATTTAATATGGGTTTTAAAAATTCTAGATGGACGTACAATTTGGTGGAAAGAATAATATGGATACATTATTTTTCAGTAAAACTTTAATTGAAGAATGAGCTGGACAGTTATCTACAATCAGGACAATTTTTGTGTTAACATGTAAACCAACCAAATTCTGAAAGTCTTGTGTATGAAATGATTTTCAAACCAATCATCCATTTACACTTGTGTCATCCGTGTTCTTTTATTTGCATGATATATAACAGGAAATGTTTTACTCCTTTAAATGCTTGAGATCGTGTATTTTTTCCGATAATGAAAGGTTTACTCTTGTGCATTCCTGCTGCATTTGTGAATCCTAAAATTCGTAGTCTCACTTTGAAATCTCTGACACGAGTTGGAACCTTTTCTATAGAGGTTGCCAAGATATTTTGTAGTACATATTGCCAGAAAAGACTAGTTTCATCAGCATTGTAAATTTGTTCTGGAGATAATGTTTAACTATTAATGAATTCAATGAATTCATCTGCAAATAGTTCAGCAGCTTCAGTATCAGCTGAAGCTTTTTTCCTTAAAATTCTTAACTGCCTTATACCATGGTGATTTTTAGATTTGGTTAAACAATGTGCACTCAATTTTTAAATTTATTTCTTAGTGAAATATTTTAGCTTGCACCATTAGTCTGTGACCCATCAATGGCACACCCTCACTGCAATGCTGTCTGACACATTCAATAATCATTTTTTCATGATCTTCACTTTTAGCATAAGAAATAATTTTTTTCTGTTATTTGTTACAAGTGGGTGTCGGAATCCACAAAAAATTCAAAAAGTTCTTTTTTCTGTTTTCTTATGTCATTTACAGTTGACTCTCCAATGCCATACATTTCGCATAATTTTGAGATGGATATACTTTTATCCATTTTTTGCAGCAATTCCACTTTTTGTTTAAAGGGCATCAAAACATGCTTTCACTTTGTTGATCCTGCTGCAGCTCCAGAATTGGAAACATTTTTCGACATGGTCAAAACCTGAAACTTTAATTTTCATCAAACTGCTGTGAAAAATAATTAAGCTGGGTCAAATCAGAGAGTTAAGGAACAGCCTAATCTGCTACATTGGCTAAAATTCCTTGGAATCGGTAAAGTACAGGGTGATTCATAAAGAAGTATACACTTTCCAGATGCTGTAAAGCAGTGACAGTCAAAGACGCCCACCACTTCAGTGAACTACAAGGTAGACATCCCCTTAAAGTTTGTGTCTAGCCCCTGATGGAAGTGATATAGGCAATCACATACATGTCATGCGACTAGTCAGTTGAAATGGTGATGTCTGCAGTGGAGAGGGCTTTTTGTGTTCTTGAATTTAGCAAAACAGAATCTGCAACTGCAATTTCGATCACAATTCAGAAACGAACCTTCAACTAAAAGCTATCTATCAACGGCATGAAAATTTTAAAACTACGGGCTGTTTGTACAAAAGTAAAAGTCCTAGACCACCTACTGTACGAATGTACCCCAAGAAGTCACCAATAGAGTTTGCACCGCCATTGAACGAAGCCCAGGAAAATCAAAGTGGAAAGTGAGTTTTAAAGTGTGGATTTTCTCAGCCCACTGTCTGAAGAATTTTGAGAAAGAAGCTGAAAATGATTCTTTACAAAGTGCAGGTGTTGCAAAATCTGAGTGACTTTGACAAACAAAATCGCTTTGAATTTTGCCGATACACAGCTTTCTTTTGAAAATGACAATTTTGCAGATCGTTTAGTTTTCACCAATTAAGCAACATTTCACATCAATGGGAAGGTAAACAAGCATAATTTTCACTTTTGGAGAATAGAGAATCCCAAATTTACAGTGCAACACGTGCGTGATTCCCGTAAGGTAAATGCGTTCCGAGGAGTGTCCAGAAAGAAAGTGTTCAATCCTTTCTTTTTTCACGAACAAACCGTTGCATAAGCCACTTTCTTGGATGTGTTAACTCTTTGGTTGATGCCGCAGTTGCAGGACGACATTCACAATTTCCATGTCCAACTGGGTGGTGGCCTACGTGTGAGATTACCTTGATGAACATTTCACTCACTGATGGATTGGACAAGCCACAGACTACAACATTCCCAACACCCAATGGCCATCCAGAAGACCTGACTTAATACCTTGCAATTTCTTCCTGTGGGGTTACCTAAAGGACAAGGTATTCGTCCCTCCCTTCCTGTTGATCTAGTGGAGTTGAAACAGCATATCACAGCCGCTATCGATGAACTTGATTCAGATACCTTAACAAGCGTCTGGGCAGAAATGGATTATCAGCTCGATGTGTGTCGTATGACTAAAGGTTCACATACAGAGCAATGGCAACTGTCTCTAACAAAACTTAAAATAATCCCATACAGTTTTGCTACAGGTAATGTATAATATCTTGCATCGTTCTTGATTTATAGTGCATTTAAATTGTATACTTCTATATGAATCACCCTGTATAATTTTAGCGTAGCTTAATAGTGTCTGCTATACATTATTGGTGACGAAAGACAAGTTGTTCCGCTAAATTTTGTCTTGCTTCTATTTTGCACTGAGACAGTTAAGCCTGATTGTATTAGTTAAGTTATTTATTATATTTACATCTATTTCTTGCACATGCTTAACACATATCTGAAGCCTGAATAAATAAATTCCCACATTGAGAATCCTAAATAAATAAATTTCCACACTTATTGAGGTACCGCCTGATGATATTTGGTCTCTGCGGGTCCTAAATTCTGCTACCAAGCACCTCTATAAATTCTACATTTTTGCTACCCCTAAATTTTGGATCCCATTTCTTATCCTAAATTATAAAATTATTTTCATTCTTTAATTTTGGTGCTTCCAGCGCTAGATTTAGCATTTTTCCTAGGCAGGGCAAAAACTTAAACTGCCGCCATCACCCATCTTCCTGTAAGTTTCTCTAACAAATTTTAATTCTTTAAATAAACATAGAAATATGTAGGGTTTGAGATAAAATGTAAAATCCATTTTATAATAATAAATTCTGTATGTGCCATTTTTGTTATAAAAGAAATATACATAACAAATGGTTTAGTTTCTTTACTTATGGCAAAGCACCTGCCTAAGAGGAGAAATCGCTGAGGACTTTCTAAGAGAAATTGGCTCATATACAAGTCATGCATGAGCGAAACGACGGAAACACCCATACAGCCCGCTAATTCGCTTCATACTAACCCCCGACCGAACTGCTAGTGTTCAGACTTTACCTCTCAGCCGCTGGTAACCCGACATACATATCAAAAGTTACATAATTAAAAACTCGTGCGAACCCTCCTAATGCAGTTGCTCCTCCAGTGCATTGAAATAATGAAATTTACATTTTCCCTGAAATAGGGATTTTTATCAATATTTGTAACAATACCTACTCATACTAATAAATGATACTAATAGAAAACGATTTAGTACTAAGTACTAAAATTGTTCAGCACAGTACAAAAATGGGAATCACACACTACTAAATAATAAAAAATATTATTTAAACAAATGTAAGCAAAATACAAATAACTAATCCAATGGATTCAATAATTTTATCCCAATTTCTCGATACTAACAGTAACTTTAACCCAGCAAGTTAAAAGTAACTTCAGGCAGCCAACTCAGGAACTTTACTATTGTCTTCACAAAGCCCGATAACATAGTAAATATTTACATACTCACACAAAACACTATTTTTGTACTGTAATAATCAAATTTAAATTTCTCTGAAATAAGCAATTTTTCAATATTTGCGACAGTAACTAGCCAGACCAATGGAAAATGATTCAGTACTAAATATCGGGTCAGCCCGTAAGTTCGTGCGCATCAAGAGTATGCGGGGAATTCACTATGACACATTTACTAAAATAATACAATTTTGAACCTGTTGAAACTTGTCA